GCAGTTAACCATGGAGAGCACTGTCAGTCCAGTAGATTGATCCATCCCTCAAAGACACTGTGCCTTGAGAAAACACCAGAAGCCAAGCTGTATGGCAAATCCAAGCTGAGCAGCAGCAGTAGCCCAGTGGTTAGGCAAGCTGCCCCCTCACTGTGTAGAAGTAGCAGTGCCAGTGGCAGGGGATTTGCTTGGTCCAGACCACCTGCAACAGAGCTTGGTGAAGATACAGCTCAACATTTGAGTACCTGTTTGGGCAATCCAGCAACAGATTGGCCCATCTGGCAGAGATACCACAAGTCCAGTTGAGCTACTTATTCAGTAGAATTATGTAAATATATATGTGTATGTGTGTATGTATATATGTGTGTGTGTGTGTGTGTATATGTTCTTGGAGAAGTAGTCCCAAATATATGTCTATATCTATATATTTATCCATATCTATGTCTATCCATATCTATTTATACTTATAGATTTTTCTATATCTGAAGATCTATCTATATCAAAATCTATAAGAGATATCAGGCAGATAACTCCTCACATTACAAGATTTTAGGGTAGAAAGGGACCTTAAAGATTATCCGGTAGAATGTAAGCTCTTCGAGGGCAAGGACTGTTTTGTTTTTGTCTTTGTGTCTCCAGCTCCTGGCCCAGTGCCCAGCACATAGTGACCTTGTGATACAGGTTTGTTGGACTGAATTGATTTCAGTTGTCAATTTCAATCCCCTTATTTTATAGATGAGCAAACTTAAGCCCAGAGAGGGGAAAGTGATTTGCCCAGGGTCCCACAGTAAGCCAGTGGCAAAGAAATTATAAACTCCTTAAGGGTAGGGATCATCTTTTGCCTCTTTTAGTACCCTCAGTACTTAGCATAGCCCCTGGAACACAATGGTTGTTGTTCTTCATTCTGGAAAAGGACGAAAGTGACAAAACTATATTGGGGTCAAGGTGACTGTGTGTGATCAGACCAATATGAACTCGGAAGGTTCTACCACAGATTGGGCACAAATAATCCATATGAACATTTGGAGTGGAGATGGCTCTGAATTTGCTCATCTCACATTTCTTTTGAGCTACTGTGATTCTGCCTCGATCATAGAGCACAGAGCTTTCTTTGATACAGGCATACCATGCTGGGCAGTCCTGTGCCATTATCTCCCATGTCACACAATTGATTCCAAAGTTCTTCAGAGAAATCTTGAGAGTGTCCTTGTATTGTTTCTTCTGACCACCATGTGAATACTTACCTAGTATGAGTTCTCCATAGAATAGTCTTTTAGGCAAATCCACATTTGGCATTCAAACAACATGGCTAGTCCATCAGAGTGGTATTCTCTATAGTAGAATACTGAGATCCTTCCTTGGTCTGACTGCCAAGCATTCAAACTGGAACATAATAAGCACTTATTAAATATTGATTGATTGATTGACTGGATTCAAACTCACATCCTTTGAAGTTAAATCCAGGGTTCTTTCCATAGCACAGAAAGAAGTTTCACATCTTAGTAAAGAGCCATTTTCTACCAGAGCACTGGGTCCCGGGAAAATCATGTCAGAGTGGAGAATAATTATCCTTTAAACATGACACATGTTTGATGAGGGAAAAGCTGCCTGTGCCTTGATTTTTCTCTTCTTTGTTCTCAGTTATGGATGGCCAGTTGGGTGTAAATCCTACATCTGTTTTTGCCCACACACTATCCATGAACGTGACATCTCAAAAGAGTTTGGTGCATAGCCAAAGTCACATTTTGACCTTGAACTCCAGTGGAAATTTCCCACAATCCCTAACTGTAGTTCCTGGTCAGTGGAGCCTCCTGAGAGATTCTCCTGGATGGGGTCTTTGGCCAGTAACTGAAAGACATAAAGTCATTGTGGGGAGTGGGGGCAGGAGTGGGTATGTGGAAGAAGCAGCCCAATGATTGAAGAAAATTTACCATGCTTTTTAAAAGACTTGGTCTACAATTAATTGTATTTTTTAAATGAACTGCATTTGGTTTTGTGTATTGAATAATTAATTTATTTTATAATGTTCCCATAAATGGCTCTCTATATATGTATCTATGTCTAAATATAGATATAGATATGTGTATATGTATATGTATTTACATAGTCATATACATGATGATGTATATATGCATATATGGAGGGAAGAAGAGGGGAGAGAGGGTGGAAACTAGAAAAGGGGGAGGAGGGAGAGAGAGAGTGAGAGACAGATAGACAGAGAGAAAGAGAGAGAGAGAGAGAGAGAGAGAGAGAGAGAGAGAGAGAGAGAGACAGAGAGGGAGAGAGAGAGAGAGAGAGAGAGAGAGAGAGAGAGAGAGAGAGGAGGGAGAGAGAGAGAGAGAGAGAGAGAGAGAGAGAGGGAGGGAGAGAGAGAGAGAGAGAGAGAGAGAGAGAGAGGAGAGAGAGAGAGAGAGAGAGAGAGAGAGAGAGAGAGAGAGAGAGAGAGAGGAAGACAGGTAAAGCCAAGAACCCTGGGGATTAGCAATACCTCCCACACCACTAATCCTTCTTCCTTCCAAACCCCTCCATCATCTTCCAGGGGAGCAACCTTTGTAATGACGCAACCTATCAAATGCAGAGAAAAGAAAGCTCTTGATACCAAAGTCCTTGATTCTGTCAAACGCTTCGACATTAAAAGCAGATATGGTTTCACTGATGAGAATGACATTAAAGATGATGCATTAACAACTTTCCTGTTGCATCACCCTAAGGAATGAGTCTTTCCATCTGCCTTGCAACTGACCCCTCCTCTATGTGTTTGTTATCTCTCCCTATTACATGAGTTTCTTGAGAACAGGCACTAACTTTTCTATACTGTGAAGAGCATTGAGCAGAGTGCTTTAATGAATGTTTATATATGTACACTGCTGTTCATCTTTCGTTCTCCAACAACGTGTTGTGCACATATATAGATACCCAGATATATCTATGAAGATATAAATATTTGAACAGGGCCTGTGATTTCATCAGTGTCAGAAGACCCCTAGAGGACTATCATGTACTGCTATAGGTCTGCTCCTTCTCTATAATTTATAATCTTGGCAAGTTGCCTGAAAGGATAGTGATTTACCTGTAGCTACACAATTGGTATATAGTAGAATCAAAACTTGAACCTAGGTCTTCTTGATGCCAAATTCAGTTCCTTATTCATTATGCTATGATAACTCTAACACACACACACAACATTATTCTGGTTTTGTAATTAATTAGTGAGGCACATTGTGTTTCCCTGAGAGATCAAGACCCTCTTTTATCACAAAAACACAAAATCTCCTACCACCTCCTTTTACATTATGGATGGATGGAATTACTTGGGCTTCTGGGAGGTGGGGAAGTAGGATTTTCAGCTGGTTTCCATGGTAACAAATGTGTAGAAAGCCCACCGATGCCTTGAGCAGGTGGGGGCTGGGGAGGTACAGGAAGAGAAACTGAAAACAGTGGTGTTTATTAAGCAGCCAACACTCTAGAGAAAACCAGTGGATCATACCTATGGGAGCAATTCTACTCTTCACTATCTGATAAACCCCCACCCCCACCCCTGCCCAGACTTCATGGAGTCAGAGATCTTAGCATCCTAGCTCTAACACTCAAGAGATTTCAGAAGCCAGCTAGTCCAAACTACATTTTACAGATGAGAAAACTAAGGCCCATGGAGGTTAAATGACTTGCCCAAAATCGCAACAGAAAGTATGCATCAAAGGTAAACCCAGATCCACTAACTCTAGTGAGTTGTCTTTCCACCGCACCATATTGCCTTCAAGGATGAAAATGTTCTTAGACATCATTTATGCAGTCAACTAGCTGCTAGGTGGTGCCATACTGCACAGAGCAACCAGTCTGGAATCAGGAGGCTGAATTCAAGTTCCACCTCAGATATTTACTAGTTGCGTGACTCTGAGCTAATCACATAACCTCTGTTTGCCTCAGTTTCTACATCTGTAAAATTGGGATCATAATAGCACCTGCCTCGCAGTGTTATTGTGAGGATCAAATGAGATATTTGTAAGCACTTACTACAGTGCACAGTGCATAACACATACTATATAAATATTAATTATTATTGTCATTGTTATTATGCAGCTAATAGGTACCAATCATTGTGCTAATTGCTAGGGAAACAAACAGTTCCTGCTCTCAGAAGGAATTCAAAAAGGAAGAAACAACTTTTAAACAACTATGTACATAGAAGATAGACAGACAGATAGATGGATGATATGATAGATATGATATGTGAATAAAGATAGATAGATGGAAAGATGAGATATGTGGATAGAGATAGGTAGGTAGGTAGGTAGATAGATAGATAAATAGATAGATAGATAGATAGATAGATAGATAGATAGATAGATAGATAGATAGATAGATGGCTGGATAGAAAAATGGATGGATGGATGGATGAACGGGTGGATGGATGGATGGATGGATGGATGGATGGATGGATGGATGGATGGATGGATGGATAAATACATATATACATACATACACACACATAAATGAATGGATGGATGGGTGGGTAGATGGATGGGTAGATAGATAGAGAGATAGATAAGGAAGAGGAAGATCATCTCAAAGGGAAGGGACTAGCAGTGTGGGATGGTGTGTGTTGGGGAAGGATAGGGAAATGGCAAGATTTGCAGAAGACAAGATTTGATCTGAGTCTTGAAGGAAACTAGGAAAGTCAGGAGGTGGAGGAGGGAGGGAAGAACATACCAGGTACAGGACAGCCAGAGCAAAGGGACAGGGATGAGAGACAGGGTAATTGTGCAAGGGACATCAAAAAGCCCAGTGTCATTGGAGGTAAGTAAATTATAAGAAGACCATAAAGGTAGGGAGGGGTCAGGTTATGAGGCTTTACAAGGCAAATGGAGTCAGAAGACCTGGGTTCAAAACCAGCCTTAAACATTTACTGCTTGGACAAATAACTTTTACTCTCTGTGCCTCAGATTCTTCCTCTATAGAATAAGGAAAATGGAGTAGATGATTTCTGATGTCTCTTCCAGCTCCAAACCCATGGTCTTATTATCCTCTGATTATAAGCAGCAGGTCTGGGATTTGCACCCAGATTCTCTGACTCCCAACTCCAGTGTTCTTTATCTAATGGATCTTCATTACAGCCTTGTGAGGTAGGTGGTTGTTGTTGTTATTGTTGCTGAGTTGTTTTCAGTCATGTACAACTCTTCATGACCCCACTTGGGTTTTCTTGGCAGAGATCCTGGAGTAGTTTGCCATTTCCTTCTCCAGCTCATTGTGCAGATAAAGAAGCTGAGGCCAACAGGGTTAAGTGACTTGCCCAGGGTCACACAGCTAGGAAGTATCTGAGGCTGGTTTTGAACTCAAGAAGATGAGTCTTCCTGACTCCAGGCCCACCACTGTATCCACTGAAGCGTCACCCAGCTGCCCATGAGGTGGGTTACATAGGTACTATTATCCCTATTTTATAGGTACTCAGGTATTGCTTCTGGAGCTGAACAGCCTGGCCAGGGTCAACAGGACCCAGTGGGTCTCTTGATGATCTCGTCTGTCCATGTCCTATTCCCCCAGACCCCATCAAGATGTCTCCTCCTGCACATTGTCATCTGTCACTTTTTTTTAAACATGGGGAGCTGAAGGCATTTCAAGTCATCGCCAAGTCTCCAATGAATGATTAAGTAAACTGACCCAAGTAATGACATTACAGAGAAGACCAGCAGCCCTGATGAGAGGGGAGTGAGGGAACTGAAAGCAGATGTTTGGAGATGTCACTGAATACAATGGAAAAATTCTATTTCAGTCAGTTTGCTGTAGGTCTTTTGGTCCCAACACACTTCAGGATGAAGGGACCTCAGCCTTAGGATGTCAAAAAACTTTCTTTTCTGTTCTAAGCTGCCCACCCAGGCAGCATACATCTCAAACATGTCAACTGAGCTCAAAGCCCTTGTGATTATTGTACTAAAAACTTTTCCTAGAGATTTCACTGGTAGCTGGGTGGTACGGTGGAAAGAGCACCAGGCCTGGAGTCAGGAAGACTCATCTTTGTGAGTTCAGATCCCATCTCAGATGCTTTATTAGCTGTGTGACCCTGGGCAAGTCACTTAACCCTGCTTGCCTCAGTTTCCTCATCTGTCAAATGAGCTGGAGAAAGAAATGGCAAATCACTCCAGCATGTTTGCCAAGAAAATTCCAAATGGGGTGACAAAGAATACACAATTGAACAACAACAAAGGAATTTCACTAGTCAGTGTCATAGGAGCAGAGATTTCAAGAAGCTTAGAGGTCATCTGGTCCAACCCCTGCCTTTTACAGAAGAGGAAACTGAGGCTCAGAGAAAAGACAGGACCAGAGAATTATAGATTTAAAGCTGGAGAGGATCTTGGAGGGTGTCCCATTCACCCTCCCCCCTTGTTTTATAGACAAAGAGTTGAAAAGACTTAGGTTGTCTACCCCAAATTCTTCATTTTACAGATGTGGAAACCGAGGCACAGAGAAGGGAGACAATTTAGATACAACTTAGGAAGTGATAGAAGATGGATGTGAATCCTGGAACTCTGATTTCACATCTAGTACTCTTTCCTCATCCAACTATCATGGAAGACTTGGGAGGTAGGCTGGACAGGTCTTTTTATCCCCGCTTAATAGGTAATAACACTGAACATGGATTTAGAGAGGTGCTCAAGTTCCTATACTTGGTTGGTGAGCCTTACTCTGTTACTCATGACCCTCTCTGGGCCTCAGTTTCTACATCTGTAAAATGAGGTGGGTTGGGTTATATGATCTCTAAAGTACTTTCAAACTCAGTCTGTGATCCTGGGATTCAGAGTCACTTCTCTCTAGCCTCAGTTTCCTCCTCTAAGGGGGATGAACCAGAGGATCTTTAAGGACCCTATCAGCTCTGAATATATGATCCTATCATTTAAAGGTGCTTCACTCATCTGGGTCTCAGTTTTCACATCTGGGAAATGGATGGGAGAGTTGACCTAGATTCTTTTCTACCTCTAAATCCTTTGATAACTTGAACTCTCATCGTGCTCTCTGACTTGGCTTTAAATTTGGGTGGGCTGAGATAAGGGGTTGGGAAATGCCTGCAGATGACCTGTGCAGGCTTTGGAGAGGGTTGCATAAGTCCGAGGGCCGATGTTGCTTGCTTTCCCTTTCCAGGCTTGTGTAGGAGAATTGTGTGCAGAAGCGCTGGGCGCCTCACACTTCCAGACTTCCCTATCCAATTTCCTCTTATTCCATGTAACCCAGTAGTCTAACCTGTCACGACTTTTCAGGCACCTCTTTCCTAGAATATTGCAATAACCTTCTGGTTGGTCTTCTTACTTCAAGGTTCTCCCCAATCCAAGGCATCCTCCATTCAGCTGCCAAAGTGATCTTCCTAAAGCACAGCAGGACTAATTATTACCTACTACCTCCAGGATCCAATATAAACTTCTCCATCTGTCATTGAAAGCCCCACATAACCTGACCCCTTCCTCCCCTCTGCATTTCCAACATGACACTCCATCCCTCTCTGTGACTTTCATTTACTCTCCTCCATGCCTGGAAGGCTCTCCCTCCTTGTCTCTGCCTCCTAGCTTCCTTTAAGACTCAAACACAAATCCTATCTTCTGCCCAAGGCATTTCTCCATTTCCCCCACTCTCCCCTTCCTTCTGGGGTTACCTCCCATTGACACTGCATCTCTCCTATAAGCACATAGTTCTTTTTGCCACTCCACCATTTTGCCATAGTTCAATGGAAGCTCTTTGAAAGCAAGGATTTATTTTTTGGCTTTTCTGGTATCCCTTAGAACATGGGGTTTCAATCCTGGCTCTTCTGCTGTGAGTAAAATGAAAGCATTGGACTAGGTTGCAACTCAGGGCTCTTCCAGGTCCTATGACCTAAGTCAGGAGGTCTTCAGTGTGTGGGTAGCAGGGATGGTGGCTGCCTTCCTAGTGGATGACAAAAGCCAACTAAAACCACTTGGAGTCTTTGAGGACAGATAGGGAGTTTCACCGTAGTGTGTAAGCTGGGTCAAATAATATAACTAACGTAATGCACCAGAACAAATTTGCCTCTCAAAAGGAATCTCTTAAGACCTTAAGAGAATTATCTTTATTCAGCAATGCTCTGATAATAATTAACTGTAAAGGGATAGGGACTGAAACTGTAATTTCCATAGTATAGGGAATTCTCAGGCAATGAAAGGACTTATGTATGAGAAGTGATACAGAAGGTGTCACTCAGAAAATGTATGATTTGGCCAAGAGATGGGCCAGTCATATGGCAAGACAGATGAAACACATATAAGCAAGCACCTACTTGGTTTGGGCAGCTAAGTGGTGCCATAGTGCATAGAGCACTGGACCTGGAGTCAGGAAGACTTACCTTCCTGAGTTCAAATACAGCCTCAGACACTTACTAGCTGTGTGACTCTGGGCAAGTCACTTATCCCTTTTGGCCTCAGTTTTCTCATCTGTCAAATGAGCTGATCTTTGCCAAGAAGACCTCAAATGTGTTCACAAAGAGTCCAACACAATGAAATGATTAAACAAAACAACAAAACTAGGTTCCAAGCACCATGATAAATACTGGGAATATAAATACAAGCAAGCCCTTGTCCTTAAGGTGTTTATGTTTCAATGGGGGAAAACAACACTCAAGAGGAGTTAGAAAGCTGGGCAAAACCTGGCTCAAGGAGAAATGGGGAGGAGGCTTGAGCTCCAGCAAGATCAGACAAGAGCTGACTTGTGGGAGCCAAGACGTTCAGAGGGCGATTGGATAAAAACAGATGGACCAAGAAAATGCTTACCTGTTAGCTACAGAATATTAAAGATCTTACGGGGGGGTATAGATCTCCAGTCTATCCATTACATACTTTGTGGAAGATTTACAAGAAGACAGACCAAAATTACTCAGGATGAGATAGGATGGGTGGATTGCATGCACCATTGGAGACACCACCTGCATCAGTGAAATCACAGATCCCTCAAAGCATCCAAAACTCTCAATAGCTCCCCATTATCTATTAAATAAAACTCAAGCACTTTCTTTAAAAAAAAAACAACACAATTTTTGTATTTTTTCACTGATGTTTGTTAGACCATTGATAGAGTCTCAGATATTTACTGTGTGACCCTGAGCGAGTCACTGTGCCTCATTCAGCCTCAGTTTCCTCCTCTGTAAAATGGGGATAATAATAGCACTTACTTCATGAAGTTAGTGGGCTGTTTAAATGAGGTAACATCTATCAAAGACTTTGCAAACATTAAAGCCCTATGTAAACACTGGCTACTATTGTGTTATTAGGTCACCTTTGTTTCCGAGTATCTCTTCCCTCTGCTATTGAGACATCCCTTGTATCATAGAATTTTTTAAAAGGAAGGAAGGAAGAAGGAAGAAAGGAAGAAAGAAGGGAGGGAAGGAAGAAAGAAAGAAAGAAAGAAAGAAAGAAAGAAAGAAAGAAAGAAAGAAAGAAAGAGAGAGAGAGAGAGAGAGAGAGAGAGAGAGAGAGAGAGAGAGAAAGAAAGAAAGAAAGAAAGAAAGAAAGAAAGAAAGAAGAAGAAAAGAAAGAAAGAAAGAAAGAAAGAAAGAAAGAAAGAAAGAAAGAAAGAAGAAGGAAGGAAGGAAGAAGAAAGGGGGGAGGGAGGGAAGGAAGAAAGGAAGGAAGGAAGGAAGGAAGGAAGGAAGGAAGGAAGGAAGGAAGGAAGGAAGGAAGGAAGAAGGGAGGGAGGAAGGAAGGAAGGAAGGAAGGAAGGAAGAAGAGAGGAGAAAGCAGCTCGAGGTCCAGCCTGGTTAGCCCATCAAATACTCTTATTTAGAGTTTGCCTTCCAGGCTCATAGGATTATAGGATTATGTCTTTAGAGAAGGAAAGGACCTCAGAAGCCCTCTAATCCAATCCCTCCATTTTACAGATGATGAAACTGAGGCTGAGAGAACCACAAATGGCTTTTAAAATTTACTTATTTAGGAGGCAGCTAGCTAGAGAACTGGGCTTGGAGTCAAGAAGGTCTGAGTTCAAATCTGGCCTCAGATTCTAGCTGTATGACCCTGGACAAGTCACTTAACTTCTGTCTGCCTCAGTGTCCTCAATTGTAAATAGGGGATAATAATAATAATAGCCCCTACCTCCCAGGGTGGTTATGAGAATCAAATGAGATGATATTTGTAAAATGCTTTGCAAACTTTACAATGCTGTGTAAGTGGTAGTTATTATTATCATTAATTATTCATGCTAATGGAGAGGGTAAATGATATGGATAATTTTTCAATGGTATTTCATTGG